TTTGCCAGTATTTAATCTTTTAATTTGCGACAGCAAAGCTTTTTTTTCCTGTTTCGGGAGTTATATATAATTTATTTTTCGAGTGGGTGAAATCAAGCTACAGCGCTGAAAAGGCACACGAAGGATATTAAACTCAAAAATAAAACATAGATTTGATAAAAAACAATTTTTGTTAATTCTGTAGCCTATTTTCTATTTTTGTTCAAACGACGGTCTTTATTGAGCTGTTGTTTCTCTTATTACCTAAGGCTAACGTTATCCTCGTCCGACTCAGCAAAGCTTTTCGGCTTAGGGACAAAAAAACAAAAAAATGTAATCATATACTAGTGTAGTTAAGTTGATTATTTGCTCTCACGGTCCAAAATAAATGAGCATTACTAGTTTTACCTTCTAGAGGCTACGATAAACAAGTGCAAAATATATATGTCGAGAAAGTTTGTTCAAAAACTCACATATCTGCCCCCCAAGACAGAAAAGTCTGCCGAGACGATGAGCCATTTTCCAGACATTTTCACCCAAGCTGGTGGATTCACGGAGGTCGAAAACACAGAAACTATTGCCCTGGCAACCAGCCAGTTTATTCTGAAGCATGAGAGCGCTAGCATCGCCATCTTCTGAAGTTTGAGTCTGCAATTCTGTACTTTGGTCCGAGAGACTGTGATTTAGATAGTTTGATGTCACTTCGTATAAAGGACGTACTGCTTCAGATCCTAATGTCACAGCCAAAGTGGTGTTAGATAGACATGCTTCTTGCTGTCCAGGCTGGCAGTAGAACAGACTTTCCTCGGGCGGGATTCGATCTGAGTAGAAGAGAGAGTCAATATAATACAGTTACGAAGATAAGTGAATTATTTTGAAAGGTGAAAGTTTTTCGACTCTGACCCTGTGGGGATTAGAATTTTTAGGTATGAAAGGTGGGAAATATAGTGAAGGTGCCGATAATAATGAATAAAAACTGAAGTAATCATGTGCCGCAATGACAAAAAGGATTTTAGCTGGCTTGTGGTAGGCAAGAAACATTCCCCTGAT